TTCTTGTAGTTGGTGGAGGAACCCTTGTTGGCGAGCACAGAGGTGAGACGTTCCTTGTACTTGGTGGAGGAACCCTTGTTGGTGAGCACAGAGGTGAGACGTTCCTTGTAGTTGGTGGAGGAACCCTTGTTGGTGAGCACAGAGGTGACACGTCTCTTGTAGTTGGTGGAGGAACCCTTGTTGGTGAGCACAGAGGTGAGACGTTCCTTGTACTTGGTGGAGGAACCCTTGTTGGTGAGCACAGAGGTGAGACGTTTTCTTGTAGTTGGTGTAGGAACCCTTGTTGGCGAGCACAGAGGTGAGATGTTCCTTGTAGTTGGTGGAGGAACCCTTGTTGGTGAGCACAGAGGTGACACGTCTCTTGTAGTTGGTGGAGGAACCCTTGTTGGTGAGCACAGAGGTGAGACGTTCCTTGTAGTTGGTGGAGGAACCCTTGTTGGTGACTTCAGTGTTCTGGCTGAGGGAAGAAGGTTCTCATCCAAGATTTTACAATACATGGCCCCGCCCATTGGCCCCTCAGTGCGGCAAAGTCGGCCTGTACCTGTAGCAGAGAAACAGCCCCAAAGCAGAATGTTTCCACCTCCGTGCTTAACTGTTGGGATGGTGTTCCTGGGGGTCACAGTCAGTATTTTTCTTCCTCCAAACACGGCGAGTTGAGTTGATGCCAAAGAGCTGGATTTTGGTCTCATCTGACCACAACACTTCGAACCAGTCCTTCTCTGGATCATCCAGATGGTTATTGGCAGACTTCAGCCGGGCCTGGACATGGGCTTTTTTAAGGGGGCGGACCTTGCGGGCTCTGCAGGATTTAATTCCATGGCAGTGTATTGTGCTACCAATGGTTGGTTTGGTGACTGTGGTCCCAGCTACCTGGAGATCATTTACAAGCTCCTCCCTTGTAGTTCTGGGCTGATCCCTCACTTTTCTCATGGTCATCCTTACCTCATGAGGTGAAATCCTGCATGGAGCTCCAGACCGAGGAGGGCGATTGATGGATATTTTGTATTTCTTCCATGTACGAATAATCGCTCCATCAGTTGTCTCCTTCTCGCCAAGCTTCTTGCTGATGGTCTCGTAGCCCATTCCAGCCTTGTGCAGGTCTACCATCTTGTCCCTGATGTCCTCTGACAGCTCCTTGGTCTTGCCCATGGTGATGGTGAGGGTTGGAAGAAAGAGATTCTGAGGACAGGTGTCTCTTATACACAGAACGAGTCGTTGGTAGGAGGACCTTCTTCCATGGACAGGACTGATCTGTGTACCACATGAGCACATCGCCGTTCTGTGGGAGCCAGAATCATTGTTGGTTGGGGATCAAAACACTATTGTACTCCCTGAACTGCAACTCCGTTTATGTCTATAACATTTGTATCATTTTGTTGAATAAGTATAAATCAGCACACATACAGTCATGGCCGAAATTGTTGGCACCCTTGATATTTCTCCAGGAAATCATGTATTTCTCACGAAACGTATTGCATTAACACATGTTTTGCTATACACATGTTTATTCCCTTTGTGTGTATTGGGACAAAACAAAAAAAGGGAGGAAAGAAAGCAAATTCGACATAATGTCACACAAACCTCCAAAAATGGGCTGACAAAAGTATTGGCACCCTTTCACAAACTGCGGATAAATAAGAATGTTACAAACAAGCATGTGATGCTCCTGTAAACTCACCTGGGGCAAGTAACAGGTGTGGGCAATATAGAAATTCACACCTGAAAGCAGATAAAAAGGAGAGACGTTCACTTAACCTTTGCATTGTGTGTCTGTCTGTGCCACACTAAGCATGGACAACAGAAAGAGGAGACGAGAACTGTTCTGAGGACCTGAGAACCAAAATTGTGGCAAAATATCAACAATCTCAAGGTTACAAGTCCATCTCCAGAGAACTAGATTTGCCTTTGTCCACAGTGCGCAACATTATCAAGAAGTTTGCAACCCATGGCACTGTAGCTAATCTCCCTGGTCGTGGACGGATGAGGAAAATTGATGAAAGATTGCAACGCAGAATAGTCCGGATGGTGGATAAGCAGCCCCAAACATGTTCCAAAGACATTCAAGCTGTCCTGCAGGCTCAGGGAGCATCAGTGTCAGCGCGAACTATCCGTCGACATTTAAATGAAATGAAACGCTATGGCAGGAGACCCAGGAGGACCCCACTGCTGACACAGAGACATAAAAAAGCAAGACTACAGTTTGCCAAAATGTACTTGAGTAAGCCAAAAGCCTTCTGGGAAAACGTCTTGTGGACAGATGAGACCAAGATAGAGCTTTTCGGTAAAGCACATCATTCTACTGTTTACCGAAAACGGAATGAGGCCTACAAAGAACAAAACACAGTACCTACGGTAAAAATATGGTGGAGGTTCAATGATGTTTTGGGGTTGTTTTGCTGCCTCTGGCACTGGGTGCCTTGACTGTGTGCAAGGCATCATGAAATCTGAGGATTACCAAAGGATTTTGGGTCGCACTGTAGGGCCCAGTGTCAGAAAGCTGGGTTTGCGTCCAAGATCCTGGGTCTTCCAGCAGGACAATGACCCCAAACATACGTCAAAAAGCACTCAGAAATGGATGGCAAAGAAGCGCTGGAGAGTTCTGAAGTGGCCAGCAATGAGCCCAGATCTAAATCCCATTGAACACCTGTGGAGAGATCTTAAAATTGCTGTTGGGAAAAGGTGTCCTTCCAATAAGAGAGACCTGGAGCTGTTTGCAAAGGAAGAGTGGTCCAAAATTCCGGGTGAGAGGTGTCAGAAGCTTATTGATGGTTATAGGAAGCGACTGATTTCAGTTATGTTTTTCCAAAGGGTGTGCAACCAAATATTAAGTTAAGGGTGCCAATACTTTTGTCCAGCCCATTTTTGGGGGTTTTGTGTGACATTATGTCATATTTGCTTTTCTGCCTCTGTTTTATATTTGTTCCAATACATACAAAGGGAATAAACATGTGTATAGCAAAACATGTGTTAATGCAATACCTTTTTTGTGTGAAATACTTGATTTTCAGGAAAAATATCAAGGGTGCCAACAATTTCGGCCATGACTGTATATATATATATAAAATCCTCAGAAATCCCTTAATGTCATCAATATCCTTCCCCTGAAGTACTAATACAACATATATTCATTAACTTAAACCCAAAAACCCACAATTATAGTGAAAAAATCAAGACCCAAAGAGATTACCCAAAAAAATAAAAATATAAAATATATATAAAAGAACAAAAATAAAGTCCCAATATGCAAAGTGTCCAAATAATGTGTCCAAACAAAGATCAATGTCTTGACAGGAAGATGCTTCGTACTCCACTGAAGAAGATGCAAATCAATGACAGGTGCTCTTCAAATACCTCAAAAAACAAAATCTCAACATAGTATATTACCTTTTAAATCCCAGAACTAAAGTGCCACACGTGTATCATGCAAAAAAAAACACTCCAGTGCCACACGTGTATCATGCAAAAAAAAAAAAAACACTCCAGTGCCACACGTGTATCATGAAAAAAAAAACACTCCAGTGTCACAGCACTCATGTGAGAAGAAAATTAATAAATATCACTGCAAAAACTATATATAAAGTGCATAATTACCCTAAAACAAACCGATTCCAGCTTGTAGTCCACCACATATGTACAGAGTGTCCTTAGATTGGTGTCCTCTTGTTCCTCAGGACCTCCCAGACCAGGAATCAGTATGTGAATTATAATCCTTGTTGACAAAGTCCGGAAGAGACGAAACGCGTCCAGGGCACGTGACGTTCCCGGAAGTGCTGCGGCAGCCATTTTGGATTCTGGAATCCCTGTGTGTTGGAGGTCTGGAGAGTAACGGTGCACTTCAGGTGTCCCCCAGAGCTACAAAGTGATAGTGCTGGATAGGAGTAGCAAGGGGGAATTACCTGGTGATCGGGAGACCCTCTACACACGGAAAGGGGATGGTATACTGGGCATGAGGAGTTGGATGCTGTCTTGCTGATCTCATCGTTTTTATATGTAAGTGGCTACAATACATTTTATATAGGATTATAATTCACATACTGATTCCTGGTCTGTCTGGGAGGTCCTGAGGAACAAGAGGACACCAATCTAAGGACACTCTACATATGTGGTGGACTACAAGCTGGAATCGGTTTGTTTTAGGGTAATTATGCACTTTATATATAGTTTGCAGTGATATTTATTCATTTTCTCTCACATGAGTGCTGTGACACTGGAGTGTTTTTTTGCATGATACACGTGTGACACTGGAGTGTTTTTTTTGCATGATACACGTGTGACACTGGAGTGTTTTTTTGCATGATACACGTGTGACACTGGAGTGTTTTTTTGCATGATACACGTGTGGCACTGGAGTGTTTTTTTTGCATGATACACGTGTGGCACTGGAGTTGACACTGGAGTGTTTTTTTGCATGATACACGTGTGGCACTGGAGTGTTTTTTTTTGCATGATACACGTGTGGCACTGGAGTGTTTTTTTTTGCATGATACACGTGTGGCACTTTAGTTCTGGGATTTAAAAGGTAATATATTATGTTGAGATTTTGTTTTTTGAGGTATTTGAAGAGCACCTGTCATTGATTTGCATCTTCTTCAGTGGAGTAGGAAGCGTCTTCCTGTCAAGACATTGATCTTTGTTTGGACACATTATTTGGACACTTTGCATATTGGGACTTTATTTTATTTTTGTTCTTTTTTATATATATTTTTTATATTTTTATTTTTGGGTAATCTCTTTGGGTTTTGATTTTTTTCACTATAATTGTGGGTTTTTGGGTTTAAGTCAATGAATATATGTTTGTATCATTTTGTTGTTTCTGGGTTTTTGGTTGATATTCTGTCTCCATCATTTATATACACCGATGATAACAATGATAGACCGATCATTTCTGTGTAAGTGGACGAACGTTCACAATCTGCTGGGCAGCGAATCATTACCCCCCCCCCCTGCTGTATACAGGAGCATAAAAATATAATATATACCATTCTTGTGCTTTCTGCAGGTTTATTCTGCAGGTGAACAATGCAGCCGTCACCATTCAGCGATGGTACAGACGCCAGCGGCAGAAGAATCAGGCGGGGGAGAGGGCGATCAGGCATATGCTGGCTTCCAAAAAGGAGGTAAGTGTTGGGTATAACCATGTATGACCTGGAGGGTATAACCATGTATGACTGGAGGTAAATGTTGGGTATAACCATGTATGACTGGAGGTAAATGTTGGGTGTAACCATGTATGACTGGAGGGTATAACCATGTATGACTGGAGGTAAATGTTGGGTATAACCATGTATGACTGGAGGTAAATGTTGGGTGTAACCATGTATGACTGGAGGGTATAACCATGTATGACTGGAGGTAAATGTTGGGTATAACCATGTATGACTGGAGGTAAATGTTGGGTGTAACCATGTATGACTGGAGGGTATAACCATGTATGACTGGAGGTAAATGTTGGGTATAACCATGTATGACTGGAGGTAAATGTTGGGTGTAACCATGTATGACTGGAGGTAAATGTTGGGTATAACCATGTATGACTGGAGGTAAATGTTGGGTATAACCATGTATGACTGGAGGTAAATGTCGGGTATAACCATGTATGACTGGAGGTAAATGTCGGGTATAACCATGTATGACTGGAGGTAAATGTTGGGTATAGCCATGTTTGACTGGAGGTAAATGTCGGGTATAACCATGTATGACTGGAGGTAAATGTCGGGTGCAACCATGTATGACTGGAGGGTATAACCATGTATGACTGGAGGTAAATGTCGGGTATAACCATGTATGACTGGAGGTAAATGTTGGGTGTAACCATGTATGACTGGAGGGTATAACCATGTATGACTGGAGGTAAATGTCGGGTATAATCATGTATGACTGGAGGTAAATGTCGGGTATAACCATGTATGACTGGAGGTAAATATTGGGTATAGCCATGTATGACTGGAGGTAAATGTTGGGTATAAACATGTATGACTGGAGGTAAATGTCGGGTATAACCATGTATGACTGGAGGTAAATATTGGGTATAGCCATGTATGACTGGAGGTAAATGTTGGGTATAAACATGTATGACTGGAGGTAAATGTCGGGTATACTATACAAGTGACCATTTTGAAGATGTATCCAATGTCACTATATTGCTCCAGATGCAAAAAATGAAGGATAAATAATAAAAAAAAAAAGTGAAAACCTCTTGCTGCCGCTGCACCTCACTTCAAAATGTGATCTGTCATCATCACCATCATTGTATATCCCTCACCAATACAGATCCTGAGGATCATCCCCCGACATAGAAATATATATAATAACAATCCCGAGATAAAAGATATTAAAGTTCAGCGATGAAAAACTATCAGGTATAGATAACCTTGTGCAGTGCCCACCGTGCACCCCCCTCCCCCACCCTCAGTGCCCCACCGTGCCCCCCCCTCCCCCACCCTCAGTGCCCACCGTGCACCCCCCTCCCCCACCCTCAGTGCCTACCGTGCGCCCCACCCTCCCCCACCCTCAGTGCCCGCCATGCCCCCCCTCCCCCACCCTCAGTGCCCACCATGTGCTTCCCCACCCTCAGTACCCACCATGCGCCCCCCACCGTGCACCCCCCCCCCACCCTCAGTGCCCACCGTGCGCCCCCCCTCCCCCACCCTCAGTGCCCACCGTGCGCCCCCACCCTCAGTGCCCACCGTGCACCCCCCCCCACCCTCAGTGCCCACCGTGTGCCCCCCCCCCACCCTCAGTGCCCACCATGCACCCCCCCCCACCCTCAGTGCCCACCGTGTGCCCCCCCCCCCACCCTCAGTGCCCACCATGCGCCCCCCCCTCCCCCACCCTCAGTGCCCACCATGTGCTTCCCCACCATGCACCCCCCCCCCACCCTCAGTGCCCACCGTGTGCCCCCCTCCCCCCCCCCAGGTCTGCACTGACCTGATATTGCCTTTGTTATAGCATACTCGAGGATTCCTCCAGGAACAGCCACTTCATGATTGGTTGCCGGGATAATTCAAAACTCCACCATATCATGAAAAGAGAACCAAGAATCCGCTCCGATAGTATATCCCCCGAGATCCATCGATTTATATCCCCCGAGATCCATCGATTTATATCCCCCGAGATCCATCGATTTATATCCCCCGAGATCCATCGATTTATATCCCCCAAGATCCATCGATTATATCCCCCGAGATCCATCGATTTATATCCCCCGAGATCCATCGATTTATATCCCCCGAGATCCATCGATTTATTTACTCCAAGTATTGCACTTACAGTGTTAAGAACATAAAAAAGCCCAAATAATGTGTCTCTGTGACCAGCAGATACTGCATGGTGCTCTCACCACCTCCGGAACTGTCAGACTGAACGCCGTCACGTCACTTCCGGTTACGGATCTGCGTCACTTCCGGTCTGCGTCACTTCCGGTCTGCCGCGTTTCGTCACATCCTGACTCACTCATAGGCCTATAGCTGTATATCTGCAGTGTGAGATCATCTAAGGCACTGCTGACTCTCTCAGGAGATTTGGTGCTGCTTTCCTTGCTGGAGGGGAAGCCGTACCTGAGGAGCTGCAGTGTAAGGATCTCCCTGCTGCCCCTTCACTCATTCTGTAGATCTTTCCTGCCGACTATCCCCGACCAGACATTAGATCACCGGTCATCAGGACATGAGGAAGCAAAGCCCTGCCTCTACCAAGATGGCCGCCTCCACAAAGCGGTACAGTGCAGAACAAAAGGGGAAAGACCATCTGCAGGGAGACCACAGGTGATGCTGGTGATGAGTCCCTGTTGTTGGGACCGGCTTTCACAGTTCAGGTCCCCATTTACATTGATGAGAACATTACACATCCAGGAAAAATAAACTGCAGATTATGTTTAGAAAGTCCGGCTGTTTTATTTCTGGGAATGTCCGCAATCTCTTTCAGGAGCGCCAGCAACAGGCGGCTGAGAAAAGTACAATAAACTCCCAGCAAACCAAAGAGGAGGAGAGACGGCGGGTCAGAGAGGAGAAGGCCAGGCAGGCCCGACGTGCAGCTATCCAGGTAAGGGCGACAATGGCATTCATCCCAAGCAGGAGAGAGACTGAGGAAATGCCCCCTCCTCCTTCTACAGTGTGATCACTGGGGAGGGGAGACTGAGGAAATGCCTCCTCCCCCTTCTACAGTCTGATCACTGGGGAGGGGAGACTGAGGAAATGCCTCCTCCCCCTTCTACAGTGTTACAATGTACAGTCTGATCACTGGAGTAGGGGAGACTGAGGAAATGCCCCCCTTCTCCTTCTACAGTCTGATCACCGAGGGAGGGGAGACCGAGGAAATGCCTCCTCCCCCTTCTACAGTCTGATCACCGAGGGAGGGGAGACCGAGGAAATGCCTCCTCCCCCTTCTACAGTGTTACAATGTACAGTCTGATCACTGGGGGAGGAGAGACTGAGGAAATGCCTCCTCCCCCTTCTACAGTCTGATCACCGAGGGAGGGGAGACCGAGGAAATGCCTCCTCCCCCTTCTACAGTGTTACAATGTACAGTCTGATCACTGGGGTAGGGGAGACTGAGGAAATGCCCCCTTCTCCTTCTACAGTCTGATCACCGAGGGAGGGGAGACCGAGGAAATGCCTCCTCCCCCTTCTACAGTGTTACAATGTACAGTCTGATCACTGGGGTAGGGGAGACTGAGGAAATGCCCCCTTCTCCTTCTACAGTCTGATCACCGAGGGAGGGGAGACCGAGGAAATGCCCCCTTCTCCTTCTACAGTCTGATCACCGGGGGAGGAGAGACTGAGGAAATGCCTCCTCCCCCTTCTACAGTCTGATCACCGAGGGAGGGGAGACCGAGGAAATGCCCCCTTCTCCTTCTACAGTCTGATCACCGGGGGAGGGGAGACTGAGGAAATGACTCCTCCTCCCACAAAGTTACAATGTACAGTCTGATCACTGGGGGAGGGGAGACTTTTTAAGTGAATGTGAGACTGCAGCAGAGAGATTCCAGGTGTCCTGCTGTGACAGAGCTGTATAGATCTCAGGACTGGCTGGACAGATCTGTTGTCAGGAACATTTGCTCTGATATTTATTTCCGTTCTGTATTCGGAGTTTCAGCTTTAACATATGAAATAAAAGTGACCGTGTCCCTTTATACTGACCCCCAACAACAGGAGCTGCAGCTGAAGCGAGCGCAGAAAGCGCTGGAGAGTCAGAAAGTGGTGGAGGAGGAGCTGGCGCTGCTGGTGAAGAGCGGGAAGGTGGGCAGGAAGAAGAAGACCGGCTGCAATACAGCGACGTCTCCTACAGGAAGAGGCAACAAGTCCAAAAATAATGCGGGTAAGGGATGGAACACAATGAACCCCGCCCCCCCCCCCCCTTGTGCCGGCCCTTTAAGAAACGTGACTCTGGAGGCATTTCATGGGTTTCCCAATCATAAGATCGCTGTGATTGGATGTCGGTGATCACATGATGGTTGCTGTGTGACCAGGAGCTGTCGGTGCCGGAGTGTGCAACTGAGCGCGCTCCTGGAACAAATGGGTAAGACGCACATATGAGGGTGCAATAGTGTCCTGTTGGTTTAACCCCTCCCCCTCCCGAGGATTTACCACCCCCCCGAGAAGTGTGCTGAACGCGGTATTAAACCCAAAATCAAACATTTATGATCTAGATGTGGCGGCTGCATTCGTTTTCCTTTTTTGTTTTTTTTTTTTGTTTTCTTTCCCTTTACTTTCACCTGGTGATGCAGCCAGCAAGTCTGTTGTTTTTCAGAAGCACAGGCTGTCCCTCAGATGTAGCAGTTAGAGGGATGGGACAAACCATTTACCACTGACAGGGGTGCTGATCCATCATCATCACATCCCTAATAGACCAGGAAAAAGAGGAGACAACTGTGTGGGGACGTTGAAGGTTCTCTTGTTACCTCCGGAGACACTCAAAACACAAATATAAAAATGTCGAATTTTATCACAGAAATATATCGACCTGACAAGTCACAAGTCTGCCAAGGGGGGGGGGGGAAGAACCGTATCAACCTGACAAGTCACAAGTCTGCCAAGGGGGGGGGGGGGGAAGAAATATATCGACCTGACAAGTCACAAGTCTGCCAAGGGGGGGGGGGAGAAATGTATCGACCTGAGCGGCAACGTCACGAGTCTGCCAAGGGGGGGGGGGGGGGGGGGGGGTGGAGAAATGTATCAACCTGAGCGGCAACGTCACCAGTCTGCCAAGGGGGGGGGAAGAAATGTATCGACCTGAGAGGCAACGTCACAAGTCTGCCAAGAGGGGGGGGGAAAGAAATGTATCGACCTGAGCGGCAACGTCACCAGTCTGCCAAGGGGGGGGGGGAAAGAAATGTATCGACCTGAGCGGCAACGTCACCAGTCTGCCAAGGGGGGGGGGGGGGGAAAGAAATGTATCGACCTGAGCGGCAACGTCACAAGTCTGCCAAGGGGGGGGGGGGGGGAGAGAAATGTATCAACCTGAGCGGCAACGTCACCAGTCTGCCAAGGGGGGGGGGAAGAAATGTATCAACCTGAGCGGCAACGTCACCAGTCTGCCAAGGGGGGGGGGGGGAGAAAAAATGTATCGACCTGAGTGGCAACGTCACGAGTCTGCCAAAGGGGGGGGGGGGAAAGAAATGTATCGACCTGAGCGGCAAACGTCACAAGTCTGCCAAGGGGGGGGGGAAGAAATGTATCGACCTGAGCGGCAACGTCACAAGTCTGCCAAGGGTGGGGGGGGAGAAGGGCGGGGGGGGGGGGGGGAGAAATTTATCGACCTGAGCGGCACAACGTCACCAGTCTGCCAAGGGGGGGGAAGAAATGTATCGACCTGAGCGGCAACGTCACCAGTCTGCCAAGGGGGGGGGAAGAAACGTATCGACCTGAGCGGCAACGTCACCAGTCTGCCAAGGGGGAAGGGGGGGGGAAGAAACGTATCGACCTGAGCGGCAACGTCACACGGTCCCAGTCTGCTAAAGGGGGGGGGGGGAAGAAATGTATCGACCTGTAAAGTATATATTTCATGATTCCTTTGTATCGGTTTCCTGCTGAACCCCTGAAGAGCCCATTGGGGGAAACGCGTCGACATCACCGCCTTCCTAACTTTCTGCACCCAAAATCGTTCTATATTTTTATATCCGATCGAATTATTATGACGCTGGATTGGGGTCGGCTGCACTGCAGGGTTTATGTTTGAATGTTTGTGGGGTTTTTATATATATATTTTTGATTTTTTATCTTTTTTGTAATAAATGATCAGCTTTTATTTATCGATGTAAAACCTTTTATCCCAAAAGGAAGTGAAGCTGTTCCTGTAACTCATCAAAGTGTGTTAGTGTATCTGAATCTGCTAGTCCATCTAACACTCCCAACCCTGGCAATGCTGCTGTCCAAAGGTGCTCCTTCCTCCAGAGTGGGTGGGGGGGGCGCTCTAATACTGGAGGTGTGTTACTGGCCGGGTATCACCAGGTGACAACAGAGGGGGGAAAAGGAATGCAGCCGCCACATCTAATGACTGATATGACATTTTGGGTTTTATATACCAGTTTAACCTCTTCGCTTGGCGCCTCCCGGCCCTTTAAGAGTTTCAGAAGACGGGAGGGGGGGGCGGGGTTTTTAGGGTCATGTGATCTCTGATTTGCCGTCGGGTCACATGATTGGAAAAGGTCCCAATCGAAAGGGGAGATCGAGGCCTTTCCGGGAGTCGCGGACATGTGTGCAGGGAGGGGCGCGGGGCACACGCTGTCAGCACATATATGTATTTTCTAATTGCACACAAATATGTGGCCGCTCGGCGTCGAGGCCCGGAACCCGAAGGGTTAAGGAACTCCAGTCGTGACGTTTTTGCAGACGTGTGCCGGGACCCGTGTGTGATAAGGGGGATGGTAACATCTTTCTGGGTCTTTGTAAAAAGTGAATAAATAAACTCGGCTGCACTTTATTTTCAGCAGGTTCCAGAGCTCAGGATACATTGGAATGTGACGGTTCCGGAGTTCCGCTCTTCAAACCAGCTCCGGACATCAGGAACTATGAGCAGGGCCTCCCGGTACGTACCTCACCACACAGCCGCACCCACCTCTCCTCCTGCCACAACTTGTAAGATTTGGATGATATTTTATAATATACACTATATTGCCCCAAATATTGTCCCCCCCACCCTCCATATCATGTGATTCAGGTGTTCCATTCCCCTCCATATCATGTGATTCAGGTGTCCAATCCCCCCCACATCATGTGATTCAGGTGTTCCAATCCCCTCCACATCATGTGATTCAGGTGTTCCATTCCCCTCCATATCATGTGATTCAGGTGTCCAATCCCCTCCACATCATGTGATTCAGGTGTTCCAATCCCCTCCACATCATGTGATTCAGGTGTTCCATTCCCCTCCATATCATGTGATTCAGGTGTCCAATCCCCTCCACATCATGTGATTCAGGTGTTCCAATCCCCTCCATATCATGTGATTCAGGTGTTCCAATCCCCTCCCAATCATGTGATTCAGGTGTTCCAATCCCCTCCATATCATGTGATTCAGGTGTTCCAATCCCCTCCCAGTCATGTGATTCAGGTGTTCCAATCCCCTCCAATCATGTGATTCAGGTGTTCCAATCCCCTCCATATCATGTGATTCAGGTGTTCCAATCCCCTCCCAATCATGTGATTCAGGTGCTCCAATCCCCTCCCAATCGTGATTCAGGTGTTCCAATCCCCTCCATATCATGTGATTCAGATGCTCCAATCCCCTCCATATCATATGATTCAGGTGTTCCAATCCCCTCCAATCATGTGATTCAGGTGTTCCAATCCCCTCCATATCATGTGATTCAGGTGCTCCAATCCCCTCCCAATCATGTGATTCAGGTGCTCCAATCCGCTCCCAATCATGTGATTTAGGTGCTCCAATCCCCTCCCAATCGTGATTCAGGTGTTCCAATCCCCTCCATTTCATGTGATTCAGGTATTCCAATCCCTCCATTTCATGTGATTCAGGTGCTCCAATCCCCTCCATATCATGTGATTCAGGTGTTCCAATCCCCTCCATATCATGTGATTCAGGTGTTCCAATCCCCTCCATATCATGTGATTCAGGTGCTCCAATCCCCTCCATATCATGTGATTCAGGTGCTCCAATCCCCTCCATATCATGTGATTCAGGTGCTCCAATCCCCTCCATATCGTGATTCAGGTGTTCCAATCCCCTCCATATCATGTGATTCAGGTGTTCCAATCCCCTCCATATCATGTGATTCAGGTGTTCCAATCCCCTCCATGGACACAGGTGTATACAATCAAGCCCCTAGGCATGCAGACGGCTTCTACAAACATTGGTGAAAGAATGGGTCGTTCTCAGGAGCTCAGTGACTCCAAGCGTGGTCCCGTGATAGGTTGGCACTTGGGCAATAAGTACCATCCGTGACATTTCCTGGCTACTAAATATTCCACGCTCAACTGTTAGTGGGATTATAACAAAGTGGAAGCAACTGGGAGGGAGAGAGGGGTGGGGGAGAGAGAGGAGAGGGAGAGGGGGGGGGGAGAGAGAGGAGAGGAGGGGGGAGGAAAAAAACAATATTTTATATACATACACACTTATTGATCTCATTTGCTCTCTCATTGGGGGGTTTCCTAGGGCAGCAGAAAAAACCTAAATACATGAGTGCCTGGGGGTAGACGGGCCCCCGGGGGTTTGTATGATGGGGCAATCCAGTGGGATTCGGGGCAGTTGAAGTGAACTGTCCGGTCTGGGTGGCCATCTCTGTATCTAAGCGGCTCTGAACTCTTCTTTAGGGTCTCCTCTCCGCAGACCCGCCTCGGGGGGACGTGGATGTCGCAGCCTCTGCTCAGTCTAAGACGACTCTCACCGACTTGTTGGACACATTGAAACAACTGGAGGAACCGGAACCTTTGCTGGACATTAAACCCGACAGCAAAGACAAGTTCAGCTGGATTGATGAGGGTAAGAGCGCAGCTCACACAAAGCACTTTATAACTTTTTTTTTTTTTTGTCTTTCAATTTTACCTCCCCTGGTTGCAGACCTCTAAATTGGGCAACAACCCCCCCCGGTGTTGATGGGTAAATGCAGTGTCTTTCATGGGTGTATTCTGCCTGCGTTTTAGATCTGTTGGAAAATAATCATTCTCATTACCCGGGTTCCTCTAGTTCAGGAAGTGGCAACCTTTTTGAAGAGCGAGGGCCCACTTGTAGGATTTGGTAACCGGCTGAGGGCCACAATGAAATGAAGTGCAGAATTTCGATTTTTATTTTGAATAGTATAATTAGCATTTTTCCTCCTGCAGCTACAGAATGCTGGAGGGAGGGAGAGGAGGAGGAGAAGCCGGCTTTTCAGCGGTGTTGCTGGAGGAAAATGGTTTTTGGAGGATCATTTCCTGTGTATGCCCCAGCCCCCTCCCACCTCCTGTCCAAGTGTAATACAGAAGGTGACAGGGGGGGGCCGCACGGGCCACCTGGAGCAGGGGTGTGAACAAGCCCTTACTGTCCTGAGCCCCCGATAAGGCAGCTTTCACACCGATGTGCTCAGCTTTACCCGCATTGTGGGAGAAGCGCGCGGCGCACCAGCAGCTTTCCTGCAGATTAGCTGCCATAGACTTCTGTTATAATCTTGCAGATGTGCTGCACTTTCATGGTGCTAATATGCCCATCGCACAGCCCCAGTGTATGGGGTGTATAATACTCCGACCTTCTGTCCCTCTCCCCAGCTTCTGCTGGAATGGAAGAATCGCTCTCCAGACTGCTGGGAAAGGTCCCAAGAGAAGTCAGTTGGTATTCACTCCACCTTGGACAGGGGCCGGTGCTGCTACAGAGGAAGTATCAGCTGATGTGGCTCCTGCTTCCCTCCGTGGCTGCCTGCCTGCTCTCTGCTGCTGTCTGCTCTGCCCCCTCCGTGGCTGCCTGCCTGCTCTGCTGCTGTCTGCTCCCTCCGTGGCTGCCTGCCTGCTCTGCTGCTGTCTGCTCCCTCCATGGCTGCCTACCTCCTCTCTGCTGCTGTCTGCTCCCTCCGTGGCTGCCTGCCTGCTGCTCAGCTGCTGTCTGCTCCCTCCGTGGCTTGTGCCTGCCTCCTCTGCTGCTGTCACTCCCTATCTCCGTGGCTGCCTGCCTCTCTGCTCCTGTACCCTTGCTCCCTCCGTGGCTGCCTGCCTCCTCTGCTCCTGTCTGCTCCCTCCGTGGCTGCCTGCCCTCCTCTGCTGCCTGCTGTCTGCTCTTCCTCCACGCTTCTGTCTGCCTCCTCTGTGGCTGCCTGCATCCTCTGCTGCAAAGAAGGACCCTCACTCCCTGTAGGAAAGCGCGGTCTCTCTACAAAGGTTCGCCATGTTTTGTTCCAGTCGGACCTACAACTTTCCAATCTGCAAAATGAGGGGTGTCCTGCTGATTAGAGAGCTGTAGACCCTCCCACCAGACCCCCCGCCCCCTCCCTCGCCAACAGTCCCTCCCAATCCCCCGCCCTCCCCTCGCCAACAGTCCCTGAGCCCACCAAAACAAAAATGAGGAAAAAAAGGTGGTTTAAGTCGGGGATTTCAGGGGGTTGGTGGGGTCTTGGTGTGTGTGTGTGTGGGGGGGGGGGAAGGGAATTGTCCTTTGTTGGGGGGGGGGGCTTGAGTGGATTGTTGGAGAGGGAGGCGAGAGCGAAAGGTGGGTGGGTCGCGTGTGTGGGTAGGGGCACTTGGGCCCTGGTGAGCCAGCAGTGGTTTAGGTCGGGGAATTCAGGGCATCGAGTGTCTTGGTCTTTAGGTGTATGGTGGTCCCCACACATCTTGTAAGTGGAATTGTGACGGCACAATATTTCACTGTCAAGATATCCCGCTCCCCCCTCTCCGCCCTCTCCCCCCTCTCACCTCCCTCCTACGCCCCCTCTCCCCTCTGCCCTCCGCGCCCCCTCACCCTCCCTCCGCCCTCTCCCTCGCTCTACCCCCTACTCCCGTTCCCTCTACCTCTCCCCCTCTCCCTCCCTCTCCCCCCCTCTCCCTCCCTCTTCCGAGCAACGAAGAGAACCCACCCTCCCCCAGGTCCCTCCCTCTCCCCCCTCTCCAACTGAGGCTCACCCTCCCTCCCCCCTCCTTCCTCCCTCTCACACTCAACCCTCCCCCCCTACATCCCTCCCTCTCCCCCCTCTCCCTCCCCCGGTCGAACATCCCATCTCCCCTCCCAGCCCTCCCTCTCACTCTCTCCCCCCCCTCTCCCTCCCTCTCACCCACCCTCTCACCGACCCTCCCCCTCTCCCTCCCTCTCCCCACCCCCTCTCCCTCCCTCCCCCCCTCTCCCTCCCTCTCCCCACCTCTCCCTCCCCCTCCTCCCCTCCCCCCACCTTCTCCCCCATCTCCCCCTCCCCTCCCCCCACCCGATCTCCCCTCAATCCTCTTCCCTCCCCTCTCCCCTCCCTCTCCCCTGTCGTCCCCCTTCTCCCTCTCCCTCCTCCTCTCCTCCCCCTCCTCCCCGCCCCCCCACCTTCTCCCCCTCTCCCCTCTCCCTCCCCCCTCTCCCCTCCCTCTTATTCCCTCCCTCTCCCTCCTCTTCCCTCCCCCTCTCCCCCCCTTCTCCCTCTCCCTCCCCCTCCTCCCCTCCCCCCACCACCTTCTCCCCCTCTCCCTCTTCCTCCCTCTCCTCCCTCTCTCCTCTCCCCCTTCCCCTCCCTTCTTCCCTCTCCACCCTCCTCTCCTTCCCTCCTCCTCTCTCTCCCCCTCCCGTCCTCTCCCTAAACCCCCTTCTCCCTCCCCCCCCTCTATCCCATCTCCCCCCCACCCTTCTCCCCCGCCCTCTCTTTCAGGATGCAGACACTTCCCTGACCGCCGACAACTTGGAGCGGCTCAGTCACATGATGCGCAGCGGTCCGGCGGAGCAGAAGGAACCCCAGAACGGAACTCTGCTGTCCGAGGCCAAGTTACAGAACATCATCAGTTTTCTGGATGAGATGGAGAAGGCTGAGCAGGAGAGACCTCGATCCTCCGCCTCCAACACTCACGAGGGGTAACTAGAACTCTGATTGGCCTGCAGGAATGAAAAGTGTACCCTAAGCGTTGAGGGGTTGGATCCTCCCCCTGGCCTTGTTGCTGTGTGTGGCCCTGTGCAGGGATTGGCCCTCACTGTTCATCTTGCTGAACAAGGACTAAAACTGAGAGGCAGCTCACAATTGTTCCACGTGTCCATAGTCGGGGAGGTTGGATAAAGACGTCGGTCCATCCAGGTCAATGTGTGTGTGTGGGCGTGTTCAGGTCAACACCGATTTCCTGTATATTGTGTTCACGAAGATGCCCATCTAGGGCCCCTTTCAGTCGGGGCGGAGCCTTTCAGTCAGTGGATCCGCCTGCTCAGCAGGGTCTCTCTATGCTGATCCCCGCTGACCAAGCAGATGGCGGGTCCGCTCCGCTGCTGCAGAGCAGACACACATTGCCCACTGCTTTCTATGGGGCGGTCACATGGACACCCGACTGTCATCTGATCCGACGGACGAATGGGGAACGCATCCCCATCCCTCTCTTTGTAGCGGATCGGATCGAATTGGATGCCGGTGAGTGTCAGAGGCCACATGTCCACTGACACCCGCCGGTCCATAGAGGGCTATAGATGATCTGATTGGGTCTGCCTGAAATACTGACAGGTGAACCCGATAGACCGCCGGTGGGAAAGAGGCCTCAGAGGTGTTTAACCCACTTGGAAGAACGGGCCGCCTGACACTTTGTGTTTACAAATCAGTGTTTTGTGCTAAAAAACAAATACTTTGAACCCCCAAACATGACATATTAAAGCAGAGGCCCCCCCCCCCCCGAGTATCAAGTGGTGGGTGTGGCATTTTTTTAATGTCGCAGATTATTTGCGCAGCGGTTTTTCAAACGCAGATTGTTTTTTTTGTGGGAAAAATACACTTTTTTTGGGACTGTAATGCAGAAAAACGTTATAATACCCAGATTGGTAAAATATAAAGGATGGCGTTACGCCGAGTAAATAGATACCTAACACGTCGCGCTTTACAATGGTGCACGCCCACGCGGGCGGGCGACAAACGGTCATAGGCAACGTTTTAAAAACCTTTCCAGGTTACCACTTTAGATTTGCACGGAAGGTCTGGTGCCCTCGATCGGATGTTTGCAGTCATACCTCACATGTGGTGCAATCGCTGTTTACGTACAGTCATGGCCGAAATTGTTGGCACCCTTGATATTTTTCCTGAAAATCAAGTATTTCACACAAAAAAGGTATTGCATTAACACATGTTTTGCTATACACATGTTTATTTCCCTTTGTATGTATTGGAACAAATATAAAACAGAGGCAGAAAAGCAAATATGACATAATGTCACACAAAACCCCAAAAAATGGGCTGGACAAAAGTATTGGCACCCTTAACTTAATATTTGGTTGCACACCCTTTGGAAAACATAACTGAAATCAGTCGCTTCCTATAACCATCAATAAGCTTCTGACACCTCTCACCCGGAATTTTGGACCACTCTATTCCTTTGCAAACAGCTCCAGGTACTCTCTCTTATTGGAAGGACACCTTTTCCCAACAGCAATTTTAAGATCTCTCCACAGGTGTTCAATGGGATTTAGATCTGGGCTCATTGCTGGCCACTTCAGAACTCTCCAGCGCTTCTTTGCCATCCATTTCTGAGTGCTTTTTGACGTATGTTTGGGGTCATTGTCCTGCTGGAAGACCCAGGATCTTGGACGCAAACCCAGCTTTCTGACACTGGGCCCTACAGTGCGACCCAAAATCCTTTGGTAATCCTCAGATTTCATGATGCCTTGCACACAGTCAAGGCACCCAGTGCCAGAGGCAGCAAAACAACCCAAAACATCATTGAACCTCCACCATATTTTACCGTAGGTACTGTGTTTTGTTCTTTGTAGGCCTCATTTCCGTTTTCGGTAAACAGTAGAATGATGTGCTTTACCGAAAAGCTCTATCTTGGTCTCATCTGTCCACAAGACGTTTTCCCAGAAGGCTTTTGGCTTACTCAAGTTACATTTTGGCAAACTGTAGTCTTGCTTTTTTATGTCTCTGTGTCAGCAGTGGGGTCCTCCTGGGTCTCCTGCCATAGCGTTTCATTTCATTTAAATGTCGACGGATAGTTCGCGCTGACACTGATGCTCCCTGAGCCTGCAGGACAGCTTGAATGTCTTTGGAACATGTTTGGGGCTGCTTATCCACCATCCGGACTATTCTGCGTTGCAATCTTTCATCAATTTTCCTCATCCGTCCACGACCAGGGAGATTAGCTACAGTGCCATGGGTTGCAAACTTCTTGATAATGTTGCGCACTGTGGACAAAGGCAAATCTAGTTCTCTGGAGATGGACTTGTAACCTTGAGATTGTTGATATTTTGCCACAATTTTGGTTCTCAGGTCCTCAGACAGTTCTCGTCTCCTCTTTCTGTTGTCCATGCTTAGTGTGGCACAGACAGACACACAATGCAAAGGTTAAGTGAACGTCTCTCCTTTTTATCTGCTTTCAGGTGTGATTTCTATATTGCCCACACCTGTTACTTGCCCCAGGTGAGTTTACAGGAGCATCACATGCTTGTAACATTCTTATTTATCCGCAGTTGTGAAAGGGTGCCAATACTTTTGTCCAGCCCATTTTTGGAGGTTTGTGTGACATTATGTCGAATTTGCTTTCTTTCCTCCCTTTTTTTGTTTTGTCCCAATACACACAAAGGGAATAAACATGTGTATAGCAAAACATGTGTTAATGCAATACGTTTCGTGAGAAATACATGATTTCCTGGAGAAATATCAAGGGTGCCAACAATTTCGGCCATGACTGTATGTGTGTGGGACCAACACGTGTGTTCACCTTGGCACGGGGGGGAGGAGCTAATAAATATAAATACCCCTTTGATGGCGATAGGCAGTGACAGGTCCTCTTTACTGACCCTTATCTCTCCTCTGCCCTCAGAAGCTTCGGATCATACGATGATGGGGAGGATCCAAGGCTTTTCTCATTCCCGAAGGGGTTTGTTTATATCCGGTGTAACCGGAAGTGATGAAATGCTGATTGCTTCCAGTTTCTGAGACCATAGAGATGATTGGAGCCGTCATGGTGTCGGATCAGCTGCCTGGTCAGCCGGCTGGACAATCAGGTCACTTGGTGGGGACTGGAGAGCCTCAGAAGGACCTCCCCCTCCTGTGTGTTTGTGAAGGCAATCCAGCAGCTAATTGGCTGCTAGAATTGCTTTTAAAAAAAAAAAAATCCAACCGCCGGCTAAAAAAAAACCAACGGAATGATGACTGCAGCTGCAGGCTTCATCCTGGTATAGCCAAAGTCCAAGGACATACCGATAGGCCGCTGGTCTGGAAGTGGGTGAATTATCGACACTTCCCGCTGACACACTGACTGTGGAAGGGAGTTCCACATCCTTACTGCTCTGACAGTAAAGAACCCCTTATGCAGGTTAAAACCACTTCAGATCCAGCATATCCTTCCTGAGGACTGGTGACCAGGACTGGACGGCGTACTCCAGAAGTGGCCGGACCAGAGCCTTGTAAATTGTAGAGCTGTCCCCAGAACAGGAATGCATCTTGGAGGAAAACTCTTCCAATGGGACATCATTTCCAGTGACAACCAAAGTGGATTTTCCTTCACTTCCTCTTGTTTCCAGGACAGGAAGTGAAGGGAAGTCTCCCCAATGGGACACAGCAACAAAAATAAACCTCCAGCAGTCCATTTACTACCCAGTGTTGGTGAATAGCAGCTAATGAATTGCCGCTCCATCTTTGGTTTGAAAAAGCTCTGTTGGGCATGGCCAGATCTAGGGGGGTGCTGGGCTGGGCTGTGCCCCCAGATTTTACTCTTGTCCCCCCCCAAGGACCAGTGGCATCAGCAGGGCGAAACCATATAATGAGACACTGAGGCCCAGCCCAATCACCAGACAACCAAAAGAATAAAATGAAAAAGTGTTGAACCCCCCCCCCCCCCCCCACCCCCCCCCCCACCCCCCCCCCCCAGGTCAGACAGGCTAGATCCGGCTTTTCTGAGTTCCTTTTGGGGAATAGTTTTTTTCCTGCACTTCCTGTTGTGTCAGAAGGATAGGAAGTGACCCCGAGAGCGCATGTAGTGAATGCCGGAAATGTCTTCTCCCCGAATCTCAATGTCGTCTCTTCCCTGCCCAGCCATTGCTGTCGGAGGAGGAATTGGCTCACCTGGAGCAGGCGTCGGCCGTGGCTACCGAGGTGACCGGCAACATGCTGAAGATGCGTCTGGAGCTGGAGGAGAAGAGGAAAGGCCTGAGTCTCCTGCAGACGGCCCTGGTGAGTGTCCCCAATCTCCGCAAATCCCGGGATCTCCAAACGTAGACACAGAGACACGTGACGGCAGAACAAACCCGAGCCCCTTCACTCTGCCCCATTCTTCTCTCTGTGTCGTCTTTTTTTTTTTTTACGTTTCTTTTTTTTGGGGGGGGGAGGGGGTTGGGTGTTTTTTTTGGGTGGCAATTTTTGTGCCTTCCAGATCAAGATCAGCCCAATCTTCCCCTTTAAATGGTTGTAATGAGTATGAGCAGCTCCCACCTCCAAACATGACCTCGTTTATTGTGACGTAAATACAACCAATACTCTCACATTACATTTCAGTAGCCTTCGACCCTCGTGATGGGTGTATGGGTTATGTGAGAGTACAAAGATGGCGTCCGCAACGGAAGTTACGTCACCACGTCACCTACGCGTTGCGTCACGGCACACGTGACTTCATCAGTCACGTGTGTGGTGACGCAACGCATAGGTGATATTTCGGGGGGGGGGGAAGGGATACATTGTAACATGACAACATGGGGGACATTTCAGGGGGGAGGGGAATACATTGTAACATGACAACATGGGGGACATTTCAGGGGGGAGGGGGGAATACATTGTAACATGACAACATGGGTGACGTTTCGGGGGGGGGGGATACATTGTAACATGACAACATGGGGGGCGTTTCGGGGGGGGGGGATACACTGTAACATGACAACATGGGGGACATTTCAGGGGGGAGGGGGGGGGGAATACATTGTAACATGACAACATGGGGGACATTTCAGGGGGGAGGGGAATACATTGTAACATGACAACATGGGTGACGTTTCAGGGGGGGGGGATACATTGTAACATGACAACATGGGGGACATTTCAGGGGGGAGGGGAATACATTGTAACATGACAACATGGGGGACATTTCAGGGGGGAGGGGAATACATTGTAACATGACAACATGGGGGGCGTTTCGGGGGGGGGGGATACACTGTAACATGACAACATGGGGGACATTTCAGGGGGGGGGGGAGGGGGGGGGGAATACATTGTAACATGACAACATGGGGGACATTTCGGGGGGGAGGGGAATACATTGTAACATGACAACATGGGGGACATTTCGGGGGGGAGGGGAATACATTGTAACATGACAACATGGGGGACATTTCGGGGGGGAGGGGAATACATTGTAACATGACAACATGGGGGACATTTCAGGGGGGAGGGGGGGGGAATACATTGTAACATGACAACATGGGGGACATTTCAGGGGGGGGGGGAATACTTTTTCAAGGCACGGTATCTAATATCTAGAAGTCCCCGGAGCTGATTATGGGTACACAATACGAGATCTCCTGCTGATCTCAGAGTCTATGGTGGTCATTGATGGGGACGTCTATGGTGGTCATTGATGGGGACGTCTATGGTGGTCATTGATGGGGACGTCTATGGTGGTCATTGATGGGGACGTCTATGGTGGTCATTGATGGGGGCGTCTATGGTGGTCATTGATGGGGACGTCTATGGTGGTCATTGATGGGGACGTCTATGGTGGTCATTGATGGGGACGTCTATGGTGGTCATTGATGGGGACGTCTATGGTGGTCATTGATGGGGACGTCTATGGTGGTCATTGATGGGGACGTCTATGGTGGTCATTGATGGGGACGTCTATGGTGGTCATTGATGGGGACGTCTATGGTGGTCATTGATGGGGACGTCTATGGTGGTCATTGATGGGGACGTCTATGGTGGTCATTGATGGGGACGTCTATGGTGGTCATTGATGGGGGCGTCTATGGTGGTCATTGATGGGGACGTCTATGGTGGTCATTGATGGGGACGTCTATGGTGGTCATTGATGGGGACGTCTATGGTGGTCATTGATGGGGACGTCTATGGTGGTCATTGATGGGGACGTCTATGGTGGTCATTGATGGGGACGTCTATGGTGGTCATTGATGGGGACGTCTATGGTGGTCATTGATGGGGACGTCTATGGTGGTCATTGATGGGGACGTCTATGGTGGTCATTGATGGGGACGTCTATGGTGGTCATTGATGGGGACGTCTATGGTGGTCACTGATGGGGACGTCTATGGTGGTCACTGATGGGGACGTCTATGGTGGTCACTGATGGGGACGTCTATGGTGGTCACTGATGGGGACGTCTATGGTGGTCACTGATGGGGAGACGTCTATGGTGGTCACTGATGGGGACGTCTATGGTGGTCATTGATGGGGACGTCTATGGTGGTCATTGATGGGGACGTCTATGGTGGTCATTGATGGGGACGTCTATGGTGGTCATTGATGGGGACGTCTATGGTGGTCACTGATGGGGACGTCTATGGTGGTCACTGATGGGGACGTCTATGGTGGTCACTGATGGGGAGACGTCTATGGTGGTCATTGATGGGGACGTCTATGGTGGTCATTGATGGGGACGTCTATGGTGGTCATTGATGGGGACGGTCTGGTTCTTCTCCTGCACAGGCTCAGCAGCGGGAGCTGACGGTCCGTCATGTAAAGCAGACAGAGAAGGAGTTGGGGGGTACCAGCTGAAGCAGCAGAGCGATCAATACGAGTCGACCATCCAGAGACACCTCACCTTCATAGACCAGGTAATGGCATTCAAGGGGCCCTGTCACGATGAGGACCCGGGATGTGCGACGGGGAAATGTTCGCTTTCCTGCAGAGCGGAGCACACAGCTGCTATTCGACATTTCTGGGTGTGCCGGATACATTGTCCCCCGCTGCATTCTGTGTTTCCTCCCGCTGCCCGCTATGACATTACAGGAAGCCATGGTGGCCTGCAGGAGGAACCACGGCACCTAGAAGTGCTGGATAGAAACCTGCACCCCCTGCACCCTCCGACACCCAGATATACTGGAAACAGAACACCCGGGTACAGTGCCGGGACAAGGTCATCCAACATGCCAAACTCAGCCCCCCCCCCCCAGAGATGAACAAGCAAAATGTGTCAGCAAAAAATCCCCCCCCAAAGTAAAAAAATTGAGTGCTGATCTGCATATTTACCCCCTAAGCATAAATCTCCCCTCCCCCTCTACCATATCACCTCCTATAGTACAAACACCCCCCCCCCAGTTCAAATCCTCTTCCTGCATCTCCATCTCCCCCCCCCCCAGCACATAGAACAAGTCTTACCCCCTGCCAGTGGCAGCGCAGGTTCCAACGGTCGGTGCATCGTTGTGCGCCCCCCCGCCCGGAGATGCAAAATCACATATATACAGTGCAGGAAATGTGTATTTGCCCCCCCCGCCGCTGAATGTTCGCCCCCTCACACAGAAACGATCGGTCTAACAATGGAATGTTCGCCCCCTCACACAGAAATGATCGGTCTAACAAATGGAATGTTCACCCCTCCCACAGAAACGATCGGTCTAACAATGGAATGTTCGCCCCTACACACAGAAATGATCGGTCTAACAATGGAATGTTCGCCCCTCACACAGAAACGATCGGTTCTAACAATGGAATGTTCGCCCCTCACACAGAAATGATCGGTCTAACAATGGAATGTTCCCCCCCTCACACAGAAACGATCGGTCTAACAATGGAATGTTCCCCCCCCCCTCACACAGAAACGATCGGTCTAACAATGGAATGTCGCCCCTCACACAGAAATGATCGGTCTAACAATGGAATGTTCGCCCCTCACACAAAACGATCGGTCTAACAATGGAATGTTCCCCCCCCTCACACAGAAACGATCGGTCTAACAATGGAATGTTCGCCCCTCACACAGAAATGATCGGTCTAACAATGGAATGGTCGCCCCTCACACAGAAACGATCGGTCTAACAATGGAATGTTCGCCCTCACACAGAAATGATCGGTCTAACAATGGAATGTTCGCCCCTCACACAAGAAATGATCGGTCTAACAATGGAATGTTCGCTTCCCTCACACAGAAATGATCGGTCTAACAATGGAATGTTCGCCCCTCACACAGAAATGATCGGTTCTAACAATGGAATGTTCGGTGTAACACTGAGAGACAGAATACAAAACAAATTCAGCAGAAATGCGTCTAACAAATGATGACGGATCTGCATGTTCATGAGGGAAAGAAGGATTTGATCCCCTTCACAAAACATGATTAGTACTTGGTGGCAATCCCTTGTTGGCCATCACAGAGGTCAGACGTTTCCTGGAGTTGGCCCCCAGGTTCGACACAATCTCAGGAGGGATTTTGGCCCACTCCTCTTGGCAGATCCTCTCCAAGTCATTAAGGTTTGGTGGCTGATGTTTGGCAACTCGGAAAACTTCAGCTCCTCCACAGATTTTCCATCGGTATGAAGGTGTGGAGACTGGCTAGGCCACTCCAGGACCTTAATGTGCTTCTTCTTGAGCCGCTCCTTTGTTGCCTTGGCCGTGTGTTTTGGGTCATTGTCATGCTGGAACACCCATCCACCACCCATTTTCAATGCCCTGACTGAGGGAAGAAGGTTCTCCCCCAAGATTTGAGGGTACATTGCCCGTCCATCGTCCCTTTGATGCGGTGCAGTTGTCCTGTCCCTTAGCAGAAAACCCCCCAAAGCAGAATGTTTCCTCACCACCATGTTTCACAGTTGGGATGGTGTTCTTGGGGTCATAGGCAGCATTCCTCCTCCTCCAAACACGGCGAGTTGAGTTGATGCCAAAGAGCTGGATTTTGGTCTCCTCTGACCACAACACTTCCCACCAGTCCTCCTCTGCATCATTCAGATGTTCAGTGGCAGACTTCAGACGGGCCTGGACATGGGCTTTCTTGAGCAGAGGGAACCGTGCGGGCACTGCAGGATTTCAGTCCTTGTCGGCGTAGTGTGTTTACAATTGTTTCTTGGTGACTGTGGTCCCAGCTGCCTGGAGATCATTGACAAGATCCTCACGTGTAGTTCTGGGATGATTCCTCACTGTTCTCATGATCATTGACACTCCACGAGGTGAGATTTGCATGGTGCACCAGACCTAGGGAGACTGACACTTGTTTTGTGTTTCTTCCATTTGTGAATGATTGCACCAACTGTTGTCACCTTCTCACCAAGCTGCTTGGCCATTAGTTTGGTTTTAGCCCCAGAGGTCCAGCCTTGTGTAGGTCTACCCATCTTGTCCCTGACATCCTTGGACAGCTCTTTGGTCTTTGCCATGGTGGAGGAGTTTGGAATCTGATGGTTTGATGGCTCCTGTGGACAGGTGTCTTTTATTACAGGTAACACAATGAGATTAGCAGCACTCCCTTTAGAGGACTGCTTCTAATCTCAGCTTGTTACCTGTATGGAGGACACCTGGGAGCCAGAAATCCTGCTGAATGATAGGGGATCAATCTTCTTTCCCTCATGAACATGCAGATCCGTCATCTCATTTGTTAGACGCATTTCTGCTGAATTTGTTGTTGTATTCTGTATTCTCTCAGTGTTACACCGAACATTCCATTGTTAGACCCGATCATTTCTGTGTGAGGGGGAACATTCCATTGTTAGACGATCGTTTCTGTGGTGAGGGGCGAAACATTCCATTGTTAGGGTAAGACCGATCGTTTCTGTGTGAGGGGCGAAACATTCCATTGTTAGACGATTCATTTCTGTGTGAGGGGCGAACATTCCATTGTTAGACCGATCGTTTCTGTGTGAGGGGGAACATTCCATTGTTAGACCGATCGTTTCTGTACGTGAGGGTGCGAACATTCCATTGTTAGACCGATCGTTTCTGTGTGAGGGGCGGAACATTCCATTGTTAGACCGATCGTTTCTGTGTGAGGGGGAACATTCCCATTGTTTAGACGATCGTTTTCTGTGTGAGGGGCGAACATTCCATTGTTAGAACGATCGTTTCTGTGTGAGGGTGGCGAACATTCCATTGTTAGACCGATCGTTTCTGTGTGAGGGGGCGAATTTTAGATTCCATTGTTATTTTTGTGGACCGATCGTTTCTGTGTGAGGGGGAACATTCCATTGTTAGACCGATCGTTTCTGTGTGAGGGGTCCGCGAACATTCCATTGTTAGACCGATCGTTTCTGTGTGAGGGGGAACATTCCATTGTTTTAGACCGATCGTTTCTGTGTGAGGGGCGAACTATTCCATTGTTAGATCCGATCGTTTCTGTGTGAGGGGCGAACATTCCATTGTTAGACCGATCGTTTCTGTGTGAGGGGCGAACATTCCGATTGTTAGACCGATCGTTTCTGTGTGAGGGGGAACATTCCATTGTTAGACGATCGTTTCTGTGTGAGGGGCGAACATTCCATTGTTAGACCGATCGTTTCTGTGTGAGGGGGCGAACATTCCATTGTTAGACCGATCGTTTCTGTGTGAGGGGGGGAACATTTCCATTGTTAGACCGATCGTTTCTGTGTGAGGGGCGAACATTCCATTGTTAGACCGATCGTTTCTGTGTGTGAGGGGCGAACATTCCATTGTTAGACCGATCATTTCTGTGCGAGGGGCGAACATTCCATTGTTAGAACGATCGTTTCTGTGTGAGGGGCGAACATTCAGCGTCATGGGGGGGGCAAATACACATTTCCTGCACTGTATATGCGATTTTGCGCAGCCTGCGCCCTGTAGCTGTATTTCTGCCATAGGGCGGCGGGGGGAAGCGGTTGAACCCCAGAGAGGACACCCAAAGTCTGTACCCATAAACTGACTCTACACATTGCTCCCCAGCTCATCGATGACAAGAAAGCCCTGAGTGTGAGCGATGTGAATCTCTTGTGAATGAACTGAAGCAGGTGGATCAGAAATACTCCAGTAAGATCCGTCAGATGCAGGATCAGCATGACATGGTAAGCGGCGAGGATTTTTTCGTCTGTAGGGGGCGTCTTGCTGCGTCTCTCGGTCACACAAAGGCAAACGCCACACAGGCCGGTCTGTAGGATTTGGTTGGACATCGCTGAGCTGAACAGCCGGGAGGCTTCATGACGTCGCATGTGGCGAGATTCTCTGCGGCGACATTCACATCGGCGACATTCACATGCGGGGCGACATTCACACGGGCCATTATCAACATGCAGCAGATTCCTGTGGTTGGAATCGCAGGTGTATGCAGAGCGAAGCCTTTACAGATGAATGGCAGGCCGGCACCGCATGGTGATGTACTTGGAGCCATTACCTGTGGGGGGGCTGATGCTCGGCCCCCCCCAGTATATTGTGTCCAGGGCCAATCATCGGTCCCTAACCTCCATGTGTGATACAGCCAGACACTGACCGATGCAGCTGCCGGCAGCCTGTCATTCATTTTACCGACTTCCAGCCGCAGCCGTTCATATCCACCTGAGATTCCCTCTGCAGCAATCTGCTGATCGATCCTCCCCCTGTGTGAATGCGCCCAAGGGCCCGGCCCCAGTCCTGAGATTTCAGGGGAGATTTCAGGTGTGATTTCAGGTGTGATTTCAGGGGAGATTTCAGGTGTGATTTCAGGGGAGATTTCAGGTGTGATTTCGGTGGAGATTTCAGGTGTGATTTCAGGTGTGACTTCAGGGGTGACTTCAGGGGTGACTTCAGGGGTGATTTCAGGGGTGATTTCAGGTGTGATTTCAGGGGTGATTTCAGGTGAGATTTCAGGTGTGATTTCAGGGGAGATTTGGAAACAATTGAGTACTGTTCGTGATATTTTTTATATTTGCACTAACATACAATTTTGAGGACAAGCTTTCGGGGTCTGTCACCTTCTTCAAGGTCCAAGCAGGACTGTACAAATCACAAAGTTTCAGCAGAATATTAGAAGGGATGAAAAAAAAAAAAAAAGGCTAGAGATAAGAGACAGCAAAAGCAAGGGGGGGGGGGGGGACGACACGCACACAGAGGGAGTCATGCATGAGGTGATAAAACTGTTGGATGATGACTGAGGAATCCCATGTCCACATTCAGGCCGTTATCTCTTGTAATTGGACCTGGGATTCCTCCATCATCATCCAACAGTTTTATCACTTTATCAGTTTATCCCGGAGGATTAACCCCTTCGGTCCCACGGTGAGTATAACCAGCATGCTTTGCTGCATCTGCAGGCTGATTGGACTGCGGGGGGTTCAGGAACACTTTAATGATGGCTGTCATACATCATTTGACTTCATGTCCTTCTTCTGTGCTGACCCGTCACCTCTTCCCCCCCTCTTCTCTTCTCTTCTCTTCTCTTCTCTTCTCTTCTCTTCCTCTTCCTCAGGTTTGGCAGACTCTGGGCCCCCTGTGTGAGGTAATAGCCCCCCTGCCTGCTCAGTACACGTTGTCCAGTCCCCGTCTACCTACCTTCTATTCTGTACAGTGTGCCCACCCCGGAGCCCCCCCCCCCCTGTGATGACCCCCGGAGCCCCCCCTCTGTGATGCCCCCCCAACATATGTCAATACTTCCATCCTTGTCTGTGATATCCTCAGGGATGGATTGAGCACCTCACAGTCCCGGGCTGTCTGTCTGCTTGTTTCTGGAACCCCCTCACTAACACGCTGCAGCGGAGGCCCCCTTTATCCTGCATCTGTAGAGGTTGTCCCATTAATAAACATTTGGAATGTCCAGATTAGAAATCCTATCCGGGGCTTCTCTGCACACATTACACATTCGATTCGCTAGAAATGCCCCCTGCTGTTATTGGGGGCTGACAACACAATGCAACTTTGTGGTCTGAATGGTGTCAGCCCTGCCCAGCTGTCCTTTGCTAGTTAGGTGTTTAGTATGGTGAGTCAGTATATGCAGCTCTTTACATATATATTGTACATTCCCATCAGGCCCCCCGCCCCCGAGGAGCGTACAATCTAAGGTCCTTGACTCACATTCATACATTCCCATCAGGCCCCGCCCCCGAGGAGCGTACAATCTAAGGTCCTTGACTCACATTTATACATTCCCATCAGGCCCCGCCCCCGAGGAGCGTACAATCTAAGGTCCTTGACTCACATGTATACATACACATACTAGATATGTAATCCCATAATATCCGGAACATTCTGAGCGACTTTGGAAAATCACAAAAGTGGAAATGTTATCAGGCTGCTCAGCAGAGATCGAACGAATTTCAATCCATCTATGGCTGTTCCTGATGGAGACGAGTCGACCCAACAATCATCTCCTCCCAGATGGGACAAATAATAATCTATGGCCACAATAACAATGAAACAATCTTCTCAATCATCAGAACGACAAACACTGCCCTCCCCGGGTACCTGCAGCAAAGGGGGGGGAGGTCTGGCGGCATTCATTTCCTTTATTTTGGCCTGCTGATCCTGCCAGTAACACACTTCCTGTCCTGAGGTGACAACCCTCATTCACTGTACTGTATGGAGGAGCAGCGTTGTCACATGCATGTTAGGACCAGAGACAACCTCCCCCTCTCAATGCCACATCATAGTGGGAGGTGTTCTGTAGTTCACGGAGGTGAACTGGGCATGGCTGATTTATTTATTTATTTCAGGTACTTTATATAGCGCTGTCAGTTTACACAGCGCTTTACATATTATATTGTACATTTCCCATCAGGCCCCGCCCCCGAGGAGCGTACAATCTAAGGTCCCTAACTCACATTCATACATACACATACTATGGACAATTTAGACAGGAGCCAAATAACCTACCAGCATGTCTTTGGAGTGTGGGAGGAAACCGGAAGTACCTGGAGGAAACCCACGCAGGGAGAACATGCAAACTCCAGGCAGGTGGTGCCGTGGTTGGGATTTGAACCAGCGACCCGAGTACTGCCAGGCGGGAGTGCTGACCACTGTGCTGCCCATAGATCCACACTTGTACATTGCAGCAATGCATGGCTGGGAGGGAAACGCATCCTTAACATACAGCAGCTCCATACCAACTGCATGTTCACGCCGGGAACGGCCACTTACCTCTCCTGTAATTCAGTGTCCCCCGCAGCTCCATTGGTGTCAGAACACCTCCTTCTCCATGCATGATAACAAGGCACCCCACTGGGGGCAATGATACAGATGGACCCTTCCTGTGCTCATCCATCCATCCATCCCTGCCTCTCGTGTCTTCCAGGAGATGAAGAAGCTGCAGGAACTGATGACGGCCACCGAGAAAGTGCGGCGAGAGAAATGGATCGATGAGAAGACCAAGAGGATTAAAGAAATCACCGTGAAGGGTAAGTGTCCTCCTCCCCCCGCCGGTAAGTGTCCTCCCCCCCCCCCCCCCCCCCCCCCCCCCCCCCCCCCCCCCCCCCCCCCCCCAAGTGTCCTCCTCCCCCGCCGGTAAGTGTCCTCCCCCCCACCCCCCCACCCCCCCCCCCCCCCGCCGGCAAGTGACCTCAACCCCCCCCCCCCCCGCTGTCAAGTGTCCTCCTTCCCCCGCCGGCAAGTGACCTCCTTCCCCCGCCGGTAAGTGGCCTCCCCCCCCCCCCCCCCCCCCCCCCCCGCCGGCTAATGACCTCAACCCCCCCCCCCCCCCCGCTGTCAAGTGTCCTCCTTCCCCCCCGCCGGCAAGTGACCTCCTTCCCCCGCCGGTAAGTGGCCTCCTCCCCTGCCGGCAAGTGACCTCCTCAACCCCCCCCCCCCCCCCGCCGTCAAGTGGCCTCCACCCCCGCCAGCAAGTGACCTCCTTCCCCCGCCGGTAAGTGGCCTCCTCAACCCCCCCCCCCCCCGCCATCAAGTGGCCTCCACCCCCGCCGGCAAGTGGCCTCCTCAACCCCCCCCACCGTCAAGTGGCCCCCCCCCCCACTGTCAAGTGGCCTCCTCCCCCGCCGGCAAGTGGCATCCCCCACCCCCTCCCTCAAGTGGCCTCCTCCCCCCCGCAGCAATTCCCTGAAAAAAGGATAACTAAAGGAACCACTTTTCTTTTTTGTTTATTTTTAATTTTTAGTGATGGGGGGAGGGGTGAGACCCCCCGTCAGTGTCGGGGGGAGGGGTGAGACCCCCTGTCAGTGTTGGATGGAGGAGGAGGGATGAGACCCCCTGTCAGTGTTGGATGGAGGGGGAGGGATGAGACCCCTGTCAGTGTTGGATGGAGGGGGAGGGATGAGACCCCCCGTCAGTGTCGGGGGGAGGGGTGAGACCCCCTGTCAGTGTTGGATGGAGGAGGAGGGATGAGACCCCCTGTCAGTGTTGGATGGAGGGGGAGGGATGAGACCCCCCGTCAGTGTCGGGGGGAGGGGTGAGACCCCCCGTCAGTGTCGGGGGGGGGAGGGGTGAGACCCCCTGTCGGTGTTGGATGGAGGGGGGGGGATGAGACCCCCTGTCGGTGTTGGATGGAGGGGGAGGGGTGAGACCCCTGTCGGTGTTGGATGGAGGGGGAGGGATGAGACCCCCTGTCGGTGTTGGATGGAGGGGGGGGATGAGACCCCCTGTCGGTGTTGGATGGAGGGGGAGGGGTGAGACCCCCTGTCGGTGTTGGATGGAGGGGGAGGGATGAGACCCCCTGTCGGTGTTGGATGGAGGGGGAGGGATGAGACCCCCTGTCGGTGTTGGATGGAGGGGGAGGGATGAGACCCCCTGTCGGTGTTGGATGGAGGGGGGGGGATGAGACCCCCTGTCGGTGTTGGATGGAGGGGGAGGGGTGAGACCCCCTGTCGGTGTTGGATGGAGGGGGAGGGATGAGACCCCCTGTCGGTGTTGGATGGAGGGGGGAGGGATGAGACCCCCTGTCAGTGTTGGATGGAGGGGGAGGGATGAGACCCCCTGTCAGTGTTGGATGGAGGGGGAGGGATGAGACCCCCTGTCAGTGTTGGATGGAGGGGGAGGGGTGAGACCCCCTGTCAGTGTTGGATGGAGGGGGAGGGATGAGACCCCCTGTCAGTGTTGGATGGAGGGGGAGGGGTGACATGAAGACATCTTTCAGAAATTGAAGTGTTAATAGTTTATTTTTATCCATTACCAAAGTGGAAAGAAAATTAACAGAAATCCAATCAATATTTGGGGAGACCCCCCCTCCTTCCCCCCCATATCCTGTGATCAGTATTGGGGTGACCCCCCCTCCTCCCATATCGTGTAATCAGTATTGGGGTGACCCCCCCTCCTCCCATATCTGGTGATCAGTATTGGGGTGACCCCCCCCCCCTTTGCCTTGCACCCAATGAAGGAAGTTGGCAGGTCGGTTGTTCTCTGTCCATCTCAGATCTTCTGTGGATGTCGGTCGCCTCCAATCCTTCTATCTCTTCATGTCTCCCCAGACAGACTCCATGGTGGGGGGAGATCAGGGCTCTGTGGGGGCCAAACCATCCCTTCCAGGGCCCCTTGTTCTTCTTCACACTGAGGATAGTTCCTAATGACATTGGCTGGATGTTGGGGGTGGTTGTCCTGCTGCAGAATACATTGGGGGCCAACTCTGCAGGTGTGATCTATCCCTAGCCTTCTCTACTTCTGCCACTAGATGTCACTGTCTGGCCTGTGTAGTAGGAGGTTAGTTTGGCGCACTGAGACGCACGGAACGCACAGATCGCCGCTCTGAGTAACGTCCTTGGAATAGTTCCATGCAAACAATTAGCGATAGCAGCACATGATGCGTCGGCTTTATTTCCAGCAGCTGAGTCTTCCTCGCTGGTGCCTGCAGTATGGCCCAGATGGTTATGTAGGTCACGCTTTCTTCACATGACGAGCCGTAATCCCAATTCATGTCACGTGTGTAACGCTGTAAATGGAGACACGGACCGGTCTATCTGTCATGTAGATCCAACTGCTATTACTGCTTATCTTCTATTACCCGTGCTTGGAGCACAATCTCCATTCAAGGGTGCTGGAAACGATACGGCCACCCGGCTCTGTATATTTTGTGTCGATCTTTCATAGTGACTGGAGATGCAGCAGGTAAACAAAAAACGACCACAGATACTATGGACCGCGTTCTCATCTGTTGAGGGACACAGGAAATCCTCACCTTTTGGGTTATACTGCTGCCTACAGGAGCATTGGACACTGGCAAACAAACAGAAACTGCAGGCCAGATAACCCCTCCTACTGCCAGCATGCCTCGATAGCCACTCCTACTGCCAGCATGCCCCGATAACCCCTCCTACTCCCAGCATGCCTCGATAGCCACTCCTACTGCCAGCATGCCTCGATAGCCACTCCTACTGCCAGCATGCCCCGATAACCCCTCCTACTGCCAGCATGCCTCGATAGCCACTCCTACTGCCAGCATGCCCCGATAACCCCTCCTACTGCTAGCATGCCCCAATAGCCACTCCTGCCAGCATGCCCCGATAACCCCTCCTACGGCCAGCATGCCCCGATAACCCCTCCTACTGCCAGCATGCCTCGATAGCCACTCCTACTGCCAGCATGCCTCGATAACCCCTCCTACTGCCAGCATGCCCCGATAACCCCTCCTACTGCCAGCATGCCCCGATAGCCACTCCTACTGCCAGCATGCCCCGATAACCCTCCTACTGCCAGCATGCCTCGATAGCCACTCCTACTGCCAGCATGCCCCGATAACCCCTCCTACTGCCAGCATGCCTTGATAACCCCTCCTACTGCCAGCATGCCTCGATAGCCACTCCTACTGCCAGCATGCCTCGATAACCCCTCCTACTGCCAGCATGCCCCGATAACCCTCCTACTGCCAGCATGCCCCGATAACCCCTCCTACTACCAGCGTGCCTCGATAACCCCTCCTACTGCTAGCATGCCCCGATAGCCACTCCTACTGCCAGCATGCCCCGATAACCCCTCCTACTGCCAGCATGCCTCGATAACCCCTCCTACTACCAGCGTGCCTCGATAACCCCTCCTACTGCCAGCGTGCCCCGATAGCCACTCCTACTGCCAGCATGCCTCGATAACCCCTCCTACTTCCAGCATGCCTCGATAGCCCCTCCTACTGCTAGCATGCCCCGATAACCCCTCCTACTGCCAGCATGCCCCGATAGCCACTCCTACTGCCAACATGCCTTTGATAACCCCTCCTACTGCCAGCATGTCCCGATAGCCCCTCCTACTGCCAGCATGCCCCGATAGCCACTCCTACTGCCAACATGCCTCGATAACCCCTCCTACTGCCAGCATGCCCCGATAACCCCTCCTACTGCCAGCATGCCCCGATAGCCACTCCTACTGTCAGCATGCCCCGATAACCCCTCCTACTACCAGCATGCCCCGATACTGCCAGCGTGCCCCGATAACCCCTCCTACTGCCAGCGTGCCCCGATAACCCCTCCTACTACCAGCGTGCCCCAATAGCCCCTCCTACTACCAGCGTGCCCCGATAGCCCCTCCTACTACCAGCGTGCCCCGATAGCCCCTCCTACTACCAGCGTGCCTCGATAGCCTCTCCTACTACCAACGTGCCCCGATAGCCCCTCCTACTACCAGTGTGCCCCGATAGCTCCTCCTACTACCGGCGTGCCCCGATAATCCCTCCTAGTACTGGCGTGCCCCGATAGCCCCTCCTACTACCGGCGTGCCCCGATAGCCCCTCCTACTACCGGCGTGCCCCGATAGCCCCTCCTACTACCGGCGTGCCCCGATAGCCCCTCCTACTACCGGCGTGCCCCCGATAGCCCCTCCTACTACCAGCGTGCCCTGATTGCCCCTCCTACCAGCATGCCCCAGTTTTTTGCTGATGTCCTCAGCTCTGCTATGAGATGTTTTATTTTTTGCCAGCGTTTTACGCTTCATTCTTCTTTTCTCTCCTCAATCTTCCCTACATTGCTGCTGGATCTGGTCTCTACAGTTGCAGCTTGCCATTGTGGCCTGTCATCGTGTTGGCTTTTGGAGTTCAGCAGGATCACACTGGACTAGGCATTGCGGGGCCAGCCTGGAAGTGACCTTTGGCTCTTGGATTCTGTGTAGGGTACATACCGGGCCCCGTTCTGGTGTAAGCTGGCCATGCAGTACTTTCCAAGTCCAGAGTCATTAGCATTGCCTGGTTCTGTCTCTGAGAAGGCTGATTGGGAGCTGCCTCTTGTTCGGAACGTTGGGTGTGACTTTAAAATCCCCACTTTTCACTGGTTCCTAAATCATGGAATAGGAAAATGTTGAGGGACTTGGAGTGCTGATGTCATCTTTGTGCTCTTCAGCCTTGTGGAAGCATCTTCTTGCTGAAGAGCCACGTGGATGCCAATCCAATCTCCAATCCATTCCATCTGCCTGTCTACAGTGGTTTCTGGCTACCTTTGGCACTCTGACCCTTCCGGCTACCAGCTGTCTAGGT